TGACAGCTGCTAGTCATGATTACACAATTACATAGTAACGCATTCTTTTCAAGCTTTGAGCTCTCATAATTATGAAAACCCCAGAATAAGATTTAAAGCCCAGAAACTAGATGGCGATTTGAAGACCATTAGGGCCTGTAGTTGCATAAAAAGAAAATCATTATGAGTTTTCAGCCAACCATCATTTTGAAATTTTGAAAAAGTTGTGGTTTTTGAATATTTGAATTTAGCAAGGGAAACTATTGTTTTTGTAGAATTATTTTAGTGCACACGCTGTTCTTTGGGAAGTATCCTGCATAAGGGAGAGGTAAAAGAAGCAAACAGTCCAATGGCAGCTGCCCTTTTACTAAACTGTATTTTGTGATACATGTTATAACAAAAGCAGTTCTCACTGCAGAAGTTGTGACAGTCTCAGCAAGACATTAACTCTCAAACACCACCTTTGTATGCGTCTATTCTTTCATTTTAATGTATATTCTTTACAATTCAATTTTTGCTTTGCTCCCTTCTTCTGTCCTACTACCTCTGAAGTACTGCACAGCCTCAGGACATCAGAGAGGAGATCACTTCCATATGAAATAAGGTGGTTCAGTGAGTCTTGAGTCATAGCTGACCAAAAATATCCCATTTCCTTTTTGTGGGTACACTCACAAACTGCATTCTGAGAGCATAACTTCCAAAATTTCTGTTCTTTACCTCAACTTGCTTCAAACTTCAGGCACACCTCCTGACTCTCACAGGAGTGCTCAACGGGCTGTCTTTTTAAACAAAGATGAAACTGGAGAAAGTCTTTTCTTAGTAATAACCGATCAGAAGGACTTAAACAGTGACAGTGCTGGATTAGAGAATTCGTTAGTTTGGGAGAACTTCAGCAGATGCTAAGGAGACAGATGGTCAAATACGGCAGTGAAAAGAGAATAAAGCCTGGAAGAATCAGCGCACCATCTGCTATCAGAATTTTCTGTGACCACTTAAAAATCCTATAACACAAAGATTGTTTACATGTGGAATATTGGATGTTGATTTCTTTTTTTCTAGGCAACTGGATCAGATAAATACTTAATGCTTGATTTCACTATTTTATATTCACTATATAAACTTAATTTTATAAACTCCAGTACTGTGCTTTATAAAAGGTATTTGCATTATTTAAAATGTCTTCTACAGGGCTATTAATAAATCTTTCCTCTCACCTAACCCTTTTAATAAAGTTTTGGGATTTTTAAACCTTTACATTGGAATTATACACTTCAATGCTGATTTTATATCCAAAATCACTTTTGGATATAACTGTCTTTCCACGGTCTTCCCAAATACGACCCAGACTGCAGGAAGGCTGGAATTGTTGCTGAAGCCTGCACACCATCAGATGTACAGCAAACTACTGCACACCCACTGCTTCACAGTGGCTGCTTACGCCTACAACGCAGGCTAAACCCCACTAAGGTCAAAATTGTTCATTTTTATTAGCAAATAGCCTCAAACTGTTTAGTTTCAACTGTATTAATTATGATACTCTAGTACAACTATCTCCATGGGACTGACCAAATAAAACAACAAAGGAATTCCTATTTAAAGCCCAGAGTTCTCCTTTGAAATGTAGTTCAACTTCAAGGAAGGCATCTGCTCTTGACATAGGGTACAAACAACAGAGAATCCAGTACACCCAATAGCTTGCTGCCCTTCACTGTCAAAACCATGCAGCTATAGCCTGAAATCTAACAAGACTTTTGGACCCCCAAGAAAGGCTGCAGCCTTCAAGTTCAATTTTTTGAAGTCTTCTTCCCCACCTCACCATGAAGTTTACTGCCAGTCTATTGACAACACAATGGCAGGTTCCTCTATTTATTTTATTTATTTATACCCCTTTGACAAATTTTATTCTGACCAGCTATCATGAGACTGAATACAGACACAGAATCTGACAGACCTAGATGGTCTATGACTCCTCGTACTGTAGGAGCAGAAAGAGTGCACTCGTGGCTATGAATAGCAATGCCTGGCATTCAAGCTACCTTTTCACTTAGCACTGCCCTCTGGATCAAGAACACCCAGAGTCTGTAGGAAACCAGAAAGGAAACAAGGCTCTGCACATGTTCAGTCCCCAACTTTTTGTATCAGAGAAAACAGTCATGGACTAACAGAGGCAAGATAGCAGGATCAGAGCAATGCTGCAGGTCTGAGGGATAGTAAAATGCCACACCGAAATATTCATTAAAGAGTTAAATGATTTAGCTAAAAATACAGCATCACATCAATTAGATCAACCAGTGCAGATATACATATATGTGCATACTCTGTGTTTCTGGAGGGGACCACAAGCATAAGCAAAGTTTAAGCGAACATGAAGTTGAGTAAGTGCATCAACAACATTATAATGAAACTGACACATTTCTTCTATATAATGAGCTGCTTTTGGTTACATTGCTTTGTCTGTATCCTCATTTACACCTATCTAAGAAAGGGCACCCTATCAAATCAGCAGAGGGGATACTTCTTATCAGATCAAAAATTACAAAGATGACTCTGCAAAATTGAGGTTAACATGCCTAACTCCTTAGTGCTTTCTCTGGTAGATTTATTCTTTTTTTAAGGATTTGGGAAATGGCAAGGACCATAGGTCAGTAAGATTCATCTCAGCTTCTGAGTATGGAGGTAACTGCTTAGTTGACATGTTCCTGTTTCTATCCAGGTTTCCTAGATAAGCAAATTCCACTGTGTAAATTAGTCTCATCATGTGACATGGGGCCAAATATTCATCCAGCCTGCACTCTATATGCAAGATGCCAGCAGTTCTAGGACATTTTGTCTGTGGGTTCCAGTGAAATAGAAATTATGTCCAAGAATCTTCATGACGACTACCATCTGACTAAGCACTGTGAAGGTCGTTGCTGCTTCCTCACTTGAGCAACTCTGGGAGGCCAGTGTACCCTGGTGTCCTGCCTACTGAAGCACTTAAATCCTACCCAGCTTGGTAAGCTATGGTCCCCAAGAGTTGTCAGCTTAACAGAGACAGATCACTCAGAGAATGCAGTATTTCATGGATTCACTCCTTGAAACACAACAGGTATCAGGCTGAAATGAATCCATATGAAGTACAGACTCTGCAGTTGCTCTGGGGTTCACTGTTACGAGAAGTATCAAGCTGGGGAAAGTAGAAAGCAGGAGAGGGTGAAAATAGGTTGAATGTCTATTTCATTCCTTCTTGCCAGATCTCTGTCAAACACGCTATGCCAGAAAGGTCCAATTCCTGTTCTTTTCTCGTTTAGGATCTCCTACCTGAGGCACAGACTGCATGGAAGAGTATATACTCCAGACATAATTAGCTGTGAATAAGCAGGGATCATATTTATCTAAGCACTACACTTCCTTTAGTACTGTCACCAACAGAGTGCAAATTCCTGCTTCCTGCCCTTTTTCCTCAGAAACTGGTGGACCAGTGAACCTGTAGGTTTTGAAGTAAACAGAGGCCACAGTAACACTCATGGACACACAACAAGGGATGTGTTACTGTCTGCTTGGTTGTCAATATTCTGATACCTAAAGGAAACACTATCCTTTGCTTCATAAGAACAATCTTATTCGCTCGAGATTTTTAAATGAGGAATGACTGCAACACTGTCTGCTTTGGTTACTCTGCAAGGCAGAAAATCTGCAGTCTATCACTGAAATTATAGCAACTCCCATATTTGCTGTGTATATATTATGTAAGAGTTACTATTCTGGGCTGTGCTAAATTTAAAAGAGAAATCTATCAGGGACTCCTTCCAGCAAGTTGGTCATTTAGGTATTCAGGAGGATCTCCTGCTTTGATTAGACAGATTGTGAGTAGAAAAGCAAAGTTCAGCTGCTTAATTTAATTCCCAGTGCAAGTCAAAAGAGAAAATTTTAAAGCCCTAGACAAATTGCCAGGGGTACTGTCATCTAATCTACACCACAAATAAAACTTCATTTACAGCAATGCTTACCACGTACAAGGGGGCATATCCTGAGGCCCTTCTGTAATAAATTTCCCCTCCTACTCTGGCCAGGGAGGGTCTAGTGTGTGAGGCGTAAAAATATGATTGGCCTATATACTCAAGGCATGTGGCTTTAGTGGAAACTTATGAAAGTGCGCTTTTGTCACTCCTGAAGGTCCACGGCTTAAGTGGGGCTCACATAGAGGTCTTGTACTTCTTTGTCTCATCAAATAAGTCAACACAGCAGAATATGCATTAGACTGTTTGATGCTTTCACCCTAGCACTTTCTAATAAATAACAGTAATTATTTGATAACTACTTCATTTGCCAGCACTAATAGAAGTAAGAAAAAACAAGCCAAACACCAAGAAGTAGATTTTCAGATGATTATAGGCATCAAAGTATACATTATATATCTGCTGAAGTGTAGATATTTTGATCCATATTCATAACACTGTGAATACAGAGTGCACCTCCGAAAACATTTCATCCAATCATATGAAATACTTGAGGCCTAAATAGCACTTTTTATAAGGCTTTGGTGAGAAGACATCTGAAGAGAGACTCCCTAATGGAAGATGCATGACAAAGCTGAAACTGACTCTTGCCACATTGTTATAAATGTCATTGGGTTCCAGCCTTGGGAGGTATGTAAGCTTTCAGAAGCCTTCCTGGCAGTGCTTACCTGAGCTGCTCTGTGCCTGGTGCCTGCTGGTGCTGCCCAGCAGCAGGGGAGGCCAGTTCAGAACTAGAAGTGAGTCAGTTTTCCCCACCGCCCTCAGACTCACACCACCATCACCAGCATTTTAGGAATGATGGAGAGGGTCAACAGATTCTTTTCACAGTTACTCGCTTGCAGCTCGGTGTTCACAAGAAAACACATTATCACAAGCCGGGCTACAAGTGAAAAGAGGTGACCGAGGATTTTAATTCTTGGTGAAATGTGGAAAATATATTATCAGTCGTCTACACGTAGATGGGGTTAGATGTAGGCTCATCCTAAACAGGGCAAATACTTATTCAACACCACACTATTTTACCTGTTCAGCAACGAGTGTAAGGCAGTCCTGTGTTGCTGGGTGGTTTGCACTGGGAAAGCACTTCCCAACGTGCTGAGGAGGAGCTGGGGCTCGGGGTGATGCCAATATAGAGGTGGTAACCGTCCCTACAGCTGCAGCTCTCACACAGGCACATCCCAGAGAGGCTTCACGGGGTTCTGAAGCGGTTGTTCCTTCACAGTGCTTTCTCTTCTCTCCATAGCAGCAAGGGCAATGTCCCCAACAACCGGCCCCCCCCTGCACTGCCCGGCGCAACGGCCAGCCTGCCTGCGCCAGCCCGCAGGCACCACAAGATGGCGCCGTGCCCGGGACGCGGCACCCGAGATGGCGGCTGCGCCAGGGGGGATCGCGGGCAAAGAAGCCGGGGATGCTCCCTTCCTACGGCATTGATGAGTGTGCTCGTTTTTAACACCGGTAGAGTTTCTCTCTGCCATGGAAAGGCTTTCTGAGGGAAAATGCTGGCTGAAAGCACCTCATGAAAGCTTGAGCGAGGAGGCAGCGCCATGGCCATGGAGTGCAGGTTCCCCAGGAAAAGCTATCCTGGATCTGAAACCAAAACATGACTGAAACCCTGTTTATCTAAAGAGATAAATCCCATCCCTTTCCAATGTGCTATCAACATAAAGAAGACTAACTAGGATCCTTCTGATCCAAAGCACTGCCACAGCAACTGTTACATTAGAATACCTGTGACATGTTTGGATCCCAAGAGGAAATAAGCAGTAGAGTGAAAAGGAGAGATGGATTAGATAAGAGTAACTGTATGGAATAAATTTTTTTTTTCATCTATTTAATAGCACTGAGGCTGTTATGAAAAATTTCTGGTCTGTGTTCTAGGAATGGTTGTAAATTGAAGGTGTATTAGTGAGAAAACTCAAAAAAATACAAAAATCTTGGCACTTTTAGAACGCTTTCTGTTAGGATCACTGAGCAAGTAATTGCTACTGTCATTTCATGCATGGCCTAAGAGGCCAGGAGGTCAGTGCAAAGCTGGGATTTTAATTCAGAACCTCTAACCCTCACCTAGCCTCAGCTTTGATCCCTGTGTAACAATTTGACAGAAAATCGTCCCCACAGGGCAGATTGCATCTTTGGAAATTTCCAAGGTGGGATCCCTGTCATGCTGAGGTGGTGTTCATCTCTCAAGAAAGCATCATCTTGTTTCTTCTCACAGAACCCTTTAGGGACTTGTATGATCCAAAATCTAGGAAGAAAAGAAAAAGAAAAAGAAAAAGAAAAAGAAAAAGAAAAAGAAAAAGAAAAGAAAAGAAAAGAAAAGAAAAGAAAAGAAAAGAAAAGAA